TCAATAGGGGAAGGGCATTTGGTAAAGGGGAGTTTCTTTATTTTATGGAGATATTGGAGCTCAAAACTTTTGGTGTCCTCCTTCTTAGGATGTTTGATGTGTAATCTAAAGAGAAAGGGAGACAAGCGTTGACATGTCTGAGACGCAAGGGTAATTTTCACTAATCTCCTTGCTGGACACTATATATATTGTTATCCATACTAAAAGTTTTGTATTCTAGTTTAGCACGCTACCGCTAAAAGCCAAAGTCATATGTGTATAATGTACCATACCTAGTGCTTTGCCGCATGCAATACAGGTGCATGAAATCATAGTTATGCATGTATCATATTCATGCGAACACGAACACGGCAAGTGTTACTTAAACTTTGCGCATCATATATCATGTTCATGCACGCATTTATCTCCAAATTAACTATGCAAGAGGAGGAAATATATATGTTCATGCAATACAATTACCAGCCTTAGCTTGCATCATATATCATGTTATGCGTCGGCACACGTGTTCGGAGGTTATACAGTTACCCTTCTTATCTATCTATCTATCTTGCCCTTCACTACTTACACATTATATCGTTAATTCAGCTTGCTTCTACCTCTCATGAGATCTATATTCTCATCGGAGGGATTATCGATCGATCTTCTTAGCTTGGTTAATTATTGACGACTTAATAACTTGCTTACGATAATTAATATACATTGTAGATGTATTTTGTACTCTAAATAGTAAAAAACAATGTAATAATCCCAACACTTTTAGGTCAGTGGTTAAGGAAGAGGGAGTGGTAGAAATATATGTAATAATTCCAACACTTTTAGGTCAGTGATTAAGGGGGAGAGGGGGTCTACTTAATTAGTGCATTTTGCAATAGAGCATGTTGGGCTCACAATCTATTCTCCATTGGGGACTATTTTTGTGGTGGCTCCACCAAAGGAATGATATGGATCAGAAAAGTTCGGAGCTAGGCGTGGTCATATCTGTAGCCCAAAATTTAGAAGTGCCAGCTTTTCTCATTATGAATAGGATTTTTGGCGGGCGAATGAAAACTCGCCAGGTGTCAAGGAGCGGGTCGCATTAGTTGGTGTGGCCGTTTCGTCCAATGGACATGCAAGCTAGTGATGAGAGGACCCTTTTTTTTTTTTTTTTATTCCACGCCTTCCAAGCTTCAAGTAGAGGGTTTGGGGATTTTTCTCTCCTCCTAATTAAGGGCTCCGTTTGGTTCTTCTTTATAAAACACGTGGAGGCCACCGTAGCGAGAAAATCAATTATCCATTTCCACCGGATAGCTACAGTAATAATCTATAGTGAAAGAGGCTGCTGACGAGATTTTTTTGTTGTCATATCAGCCTCTTACTTGCTCAAAATGCAAGGTACGTAAAAGCTTGAAAGTTCGTATAGCCTCGTGGCTATATAGTAACTTCAAAGGGGGGAAAAAAGGTCTAGCAAACCTATATTAATTTGAATCATGCTCTCCGTTTGATATTTTGCAGATTGATTGGGCATGTGTTTCTCAATACAAGAAATGCCAATGCGTTGTAATGTATCTTCAGGTCCACGTAACAAGATTCAAATACCGGGTTATCGACGGCAGCTCTGATGATGTGAATGCGCTTTGTTGTTCAAGTCGATGATTTACAGGTAGTAATCCTCAAGTGAGTTTGAGAGAAAAGGAAGGGCTGGTCTTAGGACTTCCCCATGCAATGAATGTGGTGTACCCAAGATACATATCCTCCCTATAAATAGAGCGGAGATGATGAAGGTTGACTACAAGAAGCAAGAATAAGAACCACATACAAATCTGTAATCCTCAAGTGAGTTTGAGAGAAAGTTGTAATCCTCAAGTGAGTTTGAGAGAAAGTGATTCTCAAGTTAAGTTATACCAACTTGAGAGAAGACCATTTGTAAGCTTTCATTTGATTATAGTGGAAACGGTGAAGAAGGGGATGGTGAGGACGTAGGCTCAATTTGAGTTGAACATCGATAAATCTTGTGTGTGCAACCTCTCAGTTTCTCTTTGTATTTCTTTGTTTTTTTCTCTTCTATTTTTATTCTCATCTCATCACAAAGACGGAAAAGGTCTTGTTATACTGTTAATTTCCTAACAGTGGTATCAGAGCAAGGTTTGCTAATCTTCTTGTGTTGAGATGGAGACTTCCGTCGGCGGTGTTCGAATAATCAGTTTGAATGGCAGCAATTGGATGATATGGAAGGCAAAGATGATGGGTCTTCTATATTGTAAGGACCTCTATGCGCCAGTTGAAGGTGAATCCTCCAAACCAGAGTCCATGACGGCGGATGATTGGAAGAAGCTCGATCGGAAAACCATCGGCACCATTCGGCAATGAGTGGATGATACTGTATTCTATCATATGTCAAATGAGACTTTGGCGAACAACTTGTGGAAGAAACTTGAAGATCTCTACGAAAGAAAGACCGCCGGCAACAAAGCTTTCTTGATTCGGAAGCTTGTCAATCTCAAATTCAAGGAAGGTGATTCTATATCTGAACATTTAAATGAAATTCAAAGTATTGTAAATCAACTTGCAGCCATGAAGATGGTGTTGGAAGATGAGCTTCAATCCCTTCTTTTGCTTAGCTCGTTACCAAATAGTTGGGAGACACTGGTGGTGTCTCTTAGCAACTCTGCACCTGATGGAGTTGTATCCATGAACCAAGTTACAAGCAATCTCTTGAATGAAGAAATACAAAGAAAGTCATCTGGATCCTTCCATTCTCATGCTTTTGTTACTGAGAACAGGGGGAAGAGCAAATATCGACAGCCTCAGAATCGAGACAAGTTAAGAGAAAAATCAAAAGCTAGAAAGGACACTAGTTGCTATCACTGTGGGAAGAATGGACACATAAAACAGGAATATCGCAAGCTCAAGCGAGAACAAAAGGAAGGAAAGACCAATGAAAAACAAAAAATGAATGAAAGTGCGGCTGTTGTCAGTGACAATAAAATTGTGCTTTTCTCAGCATGTGAAGAAGACTGTGCAAATTTCACTTGCCAAGACTCAGAATGGATGATTGATTCTGGTACCTTCTACCATACTACTCCCTGGAAGAACTACTTCACTTCGCTTCATAAAGATGTTAGATTTGTGCCTGATCTTCATCTCAATCTTCTCTCCACCAGGAAGCTTGATGAAGAAGGATACACAAGCAGCTTTGGTAAAGGATGTTGGAAGCTTACCAAAGGATCACTTGAAGCTTGATGAAGAAGGATACACAAGCAGCTTTGGTAAAGGATGTTGGAAGCTTACCAAAGGATCACTTGTACTAGCGAGAGGAAAGAAGTGTGTTGGAAGCTTACCAAAGGATCACTTGTACTAGCGAGAGGAAAGAAGTGTTGCACTCTCTATAAGACTCAATTTCACTTAGAGAATAATGAACTTGGAATAGTGGAAGATATCTCTATGGAATTGTGGCACAAGCGACTTGGTCACATGAATGAGAAAGGGCTACAAACTCTCGCAAGGTGACAACTACTTCCATCCATACAAGGTACAACACTATCCCGCTATGATCACTGCTTGATTGGAAAACAACACCGTGTAGCTTTTGTTAAAAAATATATAACAAAAAAGAAACTGGTATATTGGACTTAGTCTATTCGGATGTATGCGGACCCATAAAAGTAAAAAAAAATTAGTGGTGCCTCATACTTTGCGACCTTCATAGATGATGCATCTAGAAAGGGGTGAGAGTATGTCATAAAAACTAAAGATCAAGTCTTTGTAGTTTTCAAAGACTTTCATACCAAAGTTAAAAGAGAAAACGGAAAGCTTTTGAAGTGTATTTACACTGATAATGGTGGTGAGTATACTTCAAGGATGTTTGAAAATTATTGTTCTTTTTATGGCATTAGACACCAAAAGACTGTTCCACACACGCTGCAACACAATAGGATTGCAGAAAGGATGAACCACACAATTGTGGAAAGGATAAGGAGTATGTTATCCTTAACTAAATTACTAAAAATATTTTGGGAAGAAGCAGTGTGAACAACCTGCTACTTGATAAACATGTCCCCCTCAGTTTCCTTGGGTGGAGATATATTAATCCCGAAAGAGTTTGGAGTGGAAAGGATATTTCCTATTCTCACTTGCGGGTATTCGGGTGCAAGGCATTTGTACATGTACCTAAGGAGAAAAGAACAAAGCTTGATGATAAAGCTATTCCATGCATCTTCCTAGGATATGAAAATAATAAATTTGGGTATAGGTTGTGGGATCCTAAAAATAAAAAAAATTATGAGGAGCAGGGATGTTATTTTTTATGAAGATAAAACACTTGCTGGTTTTGAAAAAAAAAGGAGCCACAAAATACTCATATCATCCCAGATCTAATCTCTACACCAGTTATTTTTCATTCTCTCATGCTAGAAAATAATGATTTTCAAGATGTACCGGAAGAAGAAGAAACTGCATGTTCCCAAGGTTTTGATCAGAGGGAGCATGAACATCCAGAGCCGCCATATATGGATCAGCCACAAGTACCTCAATTGAGACGATCGAAAAGAGAATGACAACCCTTAACTAGATATCCTTCTTCAGAGTATACTATGGTAACAGATGCAGGTGAACCGAAAAGTTTCCATGAAACGCAAGTTTATGATGATCGTGCAAAATGGAAGAAAGCTATACAAGAGAAGATGAATTCTTTGTATAAGAATCACACTTATGACTTGATCAAGCTACCTAAGAACAGAAAAGCCTTGAAGAACAAATAGGTGTTCAAAATCAAGAATGAAGAAAATGACCAAGTCAAGTACAAAGCTC